CGAAGGAGTGGAATTCTTTGCCAGAGTCTGTATTTCCTGAAGGGTATAACTTGGGTGTCTTCAAGGCCCGAGTAAATAGGTTGCTTATGCGACGACATGCTTCAGCGTCGATCGCATCATCGCTCATCAAATATAAAAATAAATTACAAACCAAATCAAAGATTATTATTATTCAATTAAAAAAACAGTGATCTCATCATATCAAACCCTTTTTAAAAACACATCTATACCGAAAAAAAAACTATTTCAAAAAATTGTCATAATTACAAATCCTTCCTCAACGATAAGTCTTTAGCTTCAATACACACAATATCTCGTACAAACAGATGTTCCCCTAATAATATATATCTATAAAGCCACGTACACAGAGGGTGTAAGCAGTTGTGACCCAGTTATTGTGTCAAGGTTGGCTTCCTGAGCCACGCAACAAGTGCGCCATACTACACCCCGGGCGAAACTTCCGTGGATCGCGTTCATGTAACTTTTATTAGGTTCGAACAATAGGTTTAAAGGAAACTGCTTAAGATTGTTCATTACTGATAAATATGCACTTGTTTTTACATAACATATAACATCATGCCTTTTTATCTCCGAAGTGGTAGACAGAGATGCACATTACAGTATTTATTGCCACTCTACAGTACTGTGTACAGTTGCATAGTGAAAAATGGGTGGTACATTACAATGTAATTCCGGACTCCGTGCTAATATTGAGATTTTTTTTAAAAACCCCTGGTAATCGAACCTGTAGCTTCTTGTCCGGCAGTCGCACTCACGACCACTCAGTCAACGAGGCAGTTTTGTTTATAATGTTGAAAAAAGTCATTAGAAATGCATTACCTATTAATTTATAATGATGTCTTTAGCCATCTCATATCTGTAAATAGGATGGTATGGTAATGGCAAAGTTGAATTCATTAATTACCATTGGCAATATGGCATAGGCATCAACGTTATTGACAGTCCACTGTGGGATTATGAACCTCCTTTTCTTATGAGGTCGGAGGTTCTTGCAAGGCAGGTTCGAGACCGCAGTTTAAAAGTTTCTCTGCTTTAAAAACATATTATTACTGTTCTTATTAATTGCAATTAATTTGTGGTTAGTTTTCAATTGCGGTTTCTTTGGGAAACGCGTATTTGTCATACTACAACAGTCATATATACATTACAACAAAAACACAAAGACGTTTAATTGTTATTCGTAAGTCATTCTTACAAGTAATTACTTAAGTTTATTTTGTGACTGCATGCTTGCATCTTAGTTTAAGAAAAAAATTGCATGTCGTTGGAATCGAATCATTCTAGATCCGATATGAGACAATTATATCTACTTTTGAACAACAAAGAACCAGTAAAAACTATATAACTAGTAAACTATACTAACAAATTAATAAATAATCTAAAAGGCACAATTTTGCATACAACTGTGGAAGAGCCATGCTTCGACACAAATGGGCCGGCTCCACTGGAGTGATACCACGACCTCACAGAAAACCGACGTGAAACAACGCTTGCGTTGTGTTTCGCCGTGTGAGTGAGGTTACCGGATGGCCAATTACCAATGACCCTTCTCCCCAATCCCAGAATGCTGAACAATCCTCAAACTCCTAATCCCCAAAAGACCGGTAACGCAGTTGTAGCGCCTCTGGAGTTCTGGGTGTCCATGGGCGATGCCGATTGCTTACCATCAGGTGATCCGTCTGCTCTTTTACCGGCTTATTCCACATAAAAACAACATCTACATACAATATCCTTAACAGCTTATAATCTTGCATACATGGAAGTTATTACATAAAATGCTAAGAAAATCGAGGTTGCTTGCTTCGTTTGAGGTAATTCTAAATTAGCAAACCTTTCTAAATTCCGTCCGATCGCATTATAATCATCCCCACCTCAAGTATTGTATAACATAACTTGTTTTAACATATACTTAATGATTTCATTCACCCAAGTATAGATTTACTTAAGAAACGAATGTATATTAACTATAAGAAGACAGGAGTTCAAAAACGTATAAATTATCAAGTTTATTCACTGATGTGCTAATTATAACTTAATAAAATATTAGGCAAGAGGAAAGAGAAACGTTTTTTGATCCAGATATACCTCCAAAGATGACTTTAGTACGATCTTTTTAGAGAATGTGAAGGGATTTTGCACGGAATATTTTATACTCATACATTTTTTTACTAAAAAATCTTCAGACCGCATAGTGATCACATGTATCAATAACGACATAGACCACCTCAATGAGAGTAACCCACTCTGCGGTACTATGAGACCTCGTGACCTCATAATCCACAATCAAGTTGTACACAACTTGACCAGCTGTCAACCACAAACTTCTATTCCATAACGGCAATATAATATCTTTCCAATACTTCCGTCAAAATACACACACGTAATCACACGTTTTTATTAATTAGCAGCAGTAATTTAGATACTAATCTATCTATACGCCAAAAATTATCAAAATCCGTAAAGCAGTTCTTGCGTAATCGTGTAACAAACATACAAACTTTCACATCACAAATTTTCCTTACTAGGATAACAAGTGTGAAGATTATTTTCCTCATAACCTCAAAACATGTTTAAGTTCGTCATAGCCCATTGATGAGTTCTACAAGAACTTCGGATCGTCCCAAATCTTGCGGAGTGTGTCATTGACCCCGCACGAGGTCACTTGTTGCGGTGAACAGCGAAAGTGACACTGTTTGACTATGGATAGTGATAGTAGTGGTCAGATGAAATTGAAAGTACTACGACCGTTGTTTGGGTTTTTTATTTGATAGTGAAATTAGTTGTAGAAATGTTCTGGTTTTCGTTTGTTTACATTTCGTTGTAAATAAATGGGATTTTTATTATTTTTTGTTAATGTTGTCGGTTTGTAGAAGTTGTTATGAGACTATTAAGGAACTGATTTGAACTAATCGATTTAAGTAGTTATGAAGCCCTAAGACCTAAATAAGGACGTAAACGACTCCAGATCTGATAGATCTTCTGTAAAGATAGTGTAATGTTTATAAATAAAACAAATGTTTTATTAAAGTTACTCTAACACTAATATTTAAGACATTATCGCTCATTACACCATTATATTTGCATACAACTTCACAAAAATGGGTGGCGCCACTCAACTATATAAAGACTCCCACAATAGTATAAAGATCTCCATGGAAGAATACTCTTCAGATTTAAATGTCAATTGTCTATGGCAGACGTCAATATAAGCTTTGTTTACATAGTCGGACCTTCTTTTATTACACAAATAAGTTATAATGAGAAATATTCAATATTGTTGATTGTTATGTACTACAAATTGCTTTGTGTTATATATTATGTGAACTGTTGCAGGCTGTGGAAGATTTTTATGATGGTTTGTAGTTTTACTTAGCAAGTCTGTGTGCTGTACATTCTCAGTCTGTTATTGTGTGTTTGTTTAGGTATTGTATTATTGAAGCGAACACCATCTGTTCAGTGGTTTCATTTGAATAGATTTTGTTTAGAAAGTGACTGTATATAATGAAATTTTGACTAGAGAACGAGGTTCCTAGTAGATTTTTAAATTTGACGAAAATTATAGTAAAGAAAAAAAGTAAATGCCGACTGCCGGGCAAGGGGTCTCGGGTTCGATTCCCGGGTCGGGCAAAGTATTACTGGGTTTTTAAAAAATTGTCAGTGGTAGCACGGAGTCTGGAAATGTGCCCGGTATATGGCAATAGGCTCACCCCCTATTACATGGGACTCATAACATAAATAGTGAAAAGTGGGTGTTACATTGTACAGTCGTATAATGTGCACCTCTGCCTACCCCTTCGAGGATAAAAGGCGTGATGTTATGTTATGTATGTTATAGTAAAGTTGATTTTTTAAGGCCTTTCTTTGTGGCTGCTTTGGAACAGTTTCATTGGACATTATTTCGAATTTAGTATCTTGATTCTTAGCTACAATTAACACATTAGCTTACGTAGTTAGAGCAGAGCAGTATCCCAGAGATATCGCTACAGTAAGATAAGAATCCGGACACTCGTACTATTGATCACACTGTTCCCAGCTTAACCTATTTCAAAGTTTCCAATGTTTTCCTTATTCCTTTGATCTCCTCTTTCCTCTGCCCTTCGAATCCGATTATCTTTGTCGCGTTTGATAAAATAAACTCAGTAGTTTTCGCTTTATTTGGTCTTGTGCATTTTTAGACTAAGTCTCTTCTGTATATCTCAAAGGACTTGCCCTTTCTCTGGATTGCTAACGTTTTACGTATCGTCTAGGTTTTTGCTACTGAAGTATTTGTATTTTAAAATGTTGTTAGGTATATTTTATATGACTAAATGTTAGATTTTACCTTTCTTCTTATGATGTACTTCTTTATTCAAAAGCAATGCTTGCACTGTTAAAATAAATAAATCGTTTTCGAAGAATCTGCTTCTTAGAACATGATATTTGTTTTCTGAAGTAACAGGTGCAGGTTCTAGAACAACTGCTCCATGCATTTCCACGGTCTGCAAACATTAATTCCCAATTCCACAATGGATTGGATGTTTCCGTTTACTTACGAAGAATTTGCAACGAATTGACTTTGAATTGGACCCAATTTGTCATCTTCGGGTCATCTTCGCTTTATCTGTTGGCGTATTGGTTCATTTGGCAAACGTTGGACAAATGTGGGTGTGGTTTGTTATGATACGTCGATATTTGCCTGTGGCCGATTGCGACTTTTTTATGCAGAGCTCGGAGTCTCGTGACATCATTTTAAAACTGGTTATTACTGTTTGTCGATATTATGTCATATGTAACGAACTTTGGCAGCCGTGTGATTGATTTATTCATGCGTGTAATTATGCGGAATTTATTTTTACGATTGTGAATCAACATCCTTGAAAGCTTCGACGTCAGCCCTTTGTCCTTGTAAAATATTTTGCAGTGCTTTTGCTTGGCTTAAATAATGTGTAAAATATATTTTAGCGTTGAATGTTTTACTTATTATTTCGTTTTGTCCACAGGGCGCTACCAGTGATCAAGTCCCCCGTACCAGCATGTAGTAGTCAGTGAACGATAAAACCACAAATTTTCACTCGCGTTTTAAATAAATTAAAAATGGCCGACGTTCTCGAAATCGACCCCGTGGACGATGACCTCGGTTACGATTACGAGACGACAAAGATCCCCGACATCATTGCTCCAGACGAGATGATTGAGTCTGGTTACCAGGAGGGGTCTGAACAAAGTTATGGGGATCGTAGGGATTCGAAGGAAGGTTTTGGGGGTGAAGGTGACTCTGACAGTGGCGTGGATGGGGTGAGCAGTGGCTGTAGTGTAGCAGATGACTGTCCCGTGGTGTCGATCAATGATGTGGTGGCGTATTACGATGACATTCGTCCGAGGCGGCGGCATGTACCGCAGCTCAGCTTCTACAACGTGGACATCGAGCGCCTGGCCATGGATGCTCTCGTTCAGGTCAGTCACTAGATTTAATTTGTATTTTTATCTGCAGTATTAACGCGGTCAAGATACGAGCAAGTCAAGCTATCAACTTTAAAATAATAGATTCACGACTTTATTGCAAAATGATAAGGGATAATTTTCATTAAAGAAATGAGACAGTTTGGTGTAGCTTGCTTGACGTGCTGCCGTCTGTTACTCGAGGCAAAAACTACTACACACGAGAGTAAACACAACCATTTTGTTGTTTAAGTACACGGAAATGTTAGCGGAGAACAGAACTAATGTTCCGTAAGGATATACTAGACATTACTTTTTGCACGATTTATTTAGAGTAATAAACACGGCTTATTTATTATTGTATTATCTTTCTAACAACTTGCAGTATTATAGGAAGTGGGCCGCGAGATAATTGTATACAATATCTGTGTTAAATAGCAATATGCTTCAATACGGCGCGTCCTCAAGCTTATTTCACAAGTCATGTGTGTTTTTGATGATGCCCAGTGACCTTATGAAGGAAATAAAGTATTTATATATTAATGGAATATCGTATTTTTATGTTAAAAGTAATAAATATAATATGATGTTACCGTACAGTGAGTGTGTTCGATGTACCGGTTACCAATATGTCGCCTATGTATTCTAATAAATTTAAACCAAAAATTTAAAATAAGTACTTAAGTATACTCTTCATTTATCTTCTCAATATAATATTGGATGAATCAGTCGTGTACCAGGGACGCATAGACAGTAAGTGATCTTACGTTTCACATTGTAATGCATAGCATTTGTTCTCTCAATTAGAACGGAGTTATTTCCGTACGATCTCTTGACAAAGACGGAATAATAAATACGGAACCAATTGAAACTACTGCTCTTACTATATTTGAATTACTTTCAAATAGTTACTGGTTACTTAATTTCTTATGTTTCTTCTTCTCCTTAGTTTAATCTATTTGGGGTCAGCAGCACAATATCTTCTTTTTATATTATTATCTACAATTAAATGTCATTCTATTACTAATCATCGTCATCCTGAACCAGGCCTATAGTTCTAGCCTGTCATATAGTAACGAATTTCTTTATTAATTATTTCAACCTTACCTTTTTAGCATAGAGTTGACAATGCATTAATGTGTCCGACTTAGCCAGACCAATTTCTGTTGCTATCATTATCAAGACTTGCAAGCCAAATAAAGAATGGCGTGTTGAATATGTTTTTCTCTGTATTTTAATTCAACATGTACAGTTATTTAAAAAAGTATTCAAGTATAAAAATATTGTGCATAAAATCACATTACTGAGATTTTAATTAGCAATGCAAAGCGTGGTTGCATAGATATCTATTTTTAATCCTAACTGGAATAAATGAGTTTGTAATATTAGTTTTTAATTCGAAGTTTTTGCAATGGACAGTCTTGCGGTTTATTTTATAATTACATTTATCTAGGAATTCCTTTGCAATAGTGCAATAAATTATTTATAATTAGAAAAAGGATTAGGTTACGTACTGAAGAATTTATTTGCCAATGTTTACTTAACTTATAATAAGCTATATACACAATATTAGAAATCTTTCGTCAATTTATATAAGATGAGAAAATGCTTCGATGTGATTGTTTCCACATTACATTACAAATAGTTTGTATTCGTGTTTGGTACACTCTAACACCGGAATCATTTTGTTTTCTTCTTCTTCTTTTAAAAAAACGTTGCCCCACTCTAGGATTTTCTCCTGTGTTATAGGTTTAGAAACTAAGTAAAAACGCGGGTTACTTACGTGAATATACTGAGAAAAGCTCTACTAGTTTCGAACCACAGAGGGGTTCCTCCTCATGAGCAGCGTGCGCGGTCGCGGCGACGTCGCGCAGCTCATGAGGAGGATGTATAGAAGATGTATATCTTATATGTATGAGGAGTATGTCTCACGATAGGTTTAGAAACATTCAATATCACATTCACATGACACCCAGACCAGAAATAACAATTTGTGGAGCACACAAAGAGTTGCTCCGTGCGGGAATCTTGTTTTTTACACTTAGAAGGTTTTAGTATATTAATTAACTGACTTCAAAAAAAGAGGGGTCGAAGGCGGTTTTTTAAACGTAGTTTATAAAAGACTTGACTGCCTCGTTGGCCGTGTGTGTCGCAAGTGCGACTGCCGGGAATGGGGTCTCAGGTTTGATTACAAGGTCGGGTAAAGCAGTGGTAGTACGGAGTCTGGAATATGCCCGGTATATGCCAATAAGCTCACCCCTATTACATGAGACTCATAACATAAATAGTGAAAAGTGGGTGTTACATTGTACAGTGACATTAAATGCCGTAATGTGCATCTCTGTCTACCCCTTCGGGGATAAAAAACTGTATGCTGATGTAGTTAATAAAATAATAATTTTCTTAGGAATATTGCGAACAAAGTCGCGTCCATGTTCCTAGCTAAATAAACGGCATAAAACAGTTATATAAAAGTAACATTGTTACAAAACGTGTGTTCTACTGAATCGGTACCTTTCTCTTAATGCTGTTGAGACTTGAGATGGATTATATTAGAATTACGTAACGCCTGTTAGCTTTTGTTCCTCCGTTTTGTGAGTTAGATCGCTGCTATTGATAAAGAAAGTTGCTCGAAGTGTGTATCACTTACTTAACAAAAGGTTCGGTTTTTATGCAATTTATTGTTGTATTATGCTTTGTTCATGTTTTTATTTTATGAATATCTGTTTATTAGTCCTTAGTTATGATAAAATTAGGTAGGAAATTACTTAAGTCGTTTTTTTTCTTATGAAGTTTAGTTATTAGTCAAGAATATCACGTGTCCGCTAAAGTGTGGCATTTTGCATGAATTTAAATTAATATAAAGCCATTTCCATACTGGCAGAAGAAGAAAAACTGCGATCGAAATATTTCTCCACTGTACCAACACGAGTATTAATGAACTCAAAATGTAGGTACAAGAAGTCCTCTGAACCAATCTGATGGTTCCAGTGATCTTGAAACAGGGACACAGTACAATCGAAACGTTACCAAGTTCAGTCCTCTGATTGACTGGTTAACTTGCAGCAACCAATCAGAGCGTCGAACGTGACAAACTTGTCGATCGCGTTTAGGTAATACAAAGTTGCACTAGGACCTCTGTCGTCGCCGTCGTCAAGACATAGACACCAGCCAGTGTAACACCGCGTCCACTGGATGTGGTATTTCTGGTTTTACATTCATCGTCTGACCGGAGACCATCTCGCAAACCAGTTTTTGTTATATGATGTCATCAAAGTACAGGTGGAACGCGGTTCACTTATATGCGTATAGCAACGTAAATTTAAACCTTATTGTGGTAGTAGTCGTGTGAAATATTAAGTGTTAGGTTTTATCTGCGGATTTCATTTGAGTAGGTAAATGATTTTTTGAAGTAGGAAAGTTTATTTAGATATGAGTTCCTTTAATTTCTGAATCTGAAACGTGTTGCACTTACTTAGTTCTTCGTTTTTTATTTTCTTCGTGGCATAAGGTTCACACTTGTTTAACCCTGCCCCTCTTATAAGAATGATAAAGAAGTAACAATTGCATTTGAAATAGTTATTACCATTTTCAATATCTGTGATGAGCCCTTTAAGCTAGCCAGTTAAAGAGAGAAAGGGCAAACGAATTACTATCTGTCTAGACATTACACGTATCGTGTTGCGTAGCATGTTACAGTATCGGTACGCGACAACATTAATCCAGCGTTTGCTAAGATGTAACGTCGAACTAGGGCACAATATCGTTACGTCATCGCCTTTCATCATGGCGCCCAGAGCTTTGAGAATAGGTACCGATGGTGAATGTATTTAACACTTATTTAGACCCATTTAGCCCTATTTCAATCAGTTCTATCTTGAAATTCTACAGGATTTTCGTATAATTATTATGGTCGCTTTCAGTACCCTATATAAATAACTATTGATCAGATTTTTTGTTTCAAAATGTCATTCGAACAAAGAAATCAGTTCCTAATTGAGATAGAATTTTAATACTTTTTCAACCGAGGTTTCAAAGTCAGTTACAGCCTACGTCTCGAAATGATCACCTCAATGGTCATTTTGAGACAATAAGAACTATTTTTTTTGAAATCACAAGACGTGGCTAATAGTTTATTATTATTTTTTTTTTATGGCATATGCCGCCGGTAAACGAACAAACTGATCACCTGATGGTAAGCAATCGGCGTCACCTATGGACACCTGGAACACCAGATTTTTTTCACCAGATTAGTATTTACTGTACATTTGTACAATAGTTCGACACTAGCAAATTTTCAATTGGAGGTGTAGGTCACATTAGCGCGATCTGGATAGCACAGAGCCAACAGCCCTCATTGACGTAATTTTTAAAAAGTATAGTTTGCATATAGAATTCAGTAGTTGAGTAATAGTGATGTTAGAAGGGGAATGTAGCTTATGCAATGACCGGCAATCTCGATGCATCGTACGGCTTAGTACACAATGATGTTTGCCGAATATTGAAATAAGTATGGCAGCGGAGGGGAATGACGCCATTTTAATTTACGATTAGTGATTGAAGTGTCAATGTCAAATGTTAGCGAAAAGTTTGTGTTAAAAATACGTATTGTAGTTGATTTGTTTAATGTTAGTTTCATTGTAAATTCAACATGAGTTTATCTTGTTCTATGTTAAAATTTGCATCTTATTAAATTCATACGAAATTCTCGCTTTTTTGAATTAAGAAAATGTATTTAACGTGGATTTTATTATTTATTCAGTTAGTGACTGACAAACCAAAATATTTTTCTTTTATTTATTGAATTTCGATATTATTGCATGGTTTTCTGTATTTCGTTTTTTTTTTACATTCAATTCGACCTAAACTTCAGTTGCTACGCCGATTCAAACTAACACCAAATCGATATCCGTGATCTTTATTGCAAAAAGCAATGCGGGTGTAATCGCGACAATCTCCCTAATTTATTCGCATTGTCGATGACTTTCGACATTCCCAATGTGTACACGACCTTA